TCAGCACTGGTGAGACTGTACATTGAGTATGGTGAGCAGTTCTGGGCTGCTCACTATAAGAAGGACATTGAGGTACTGGAGCGTGTCAGGAGGAGAGCTACCAAGCTCGTGAAAAGTCTAGAAAACAAATCATAAGAGGAGTGGCTGAAGGAAATGGGGTTGTTTAGTCTGAAGGAGGCTGAGGGGAGACCTCATTGCCCTCTACAACTACCTGAAAGGAGGTTGTAGGGAGGTGGGTGTTGGCCTCTTCTCCTAAGTGAATAATGATAGGAGAGAAAATGGCCTGAAGTTGCGGCAGGGGATGTTTAGATTGGATATGAGGAAGAATTTCTGTACTGAAAGAGTGGTCAGCCACTGGAACAGTCTTCCCAGGGAGGTGGTGGAGTCAACATCATTGGAGGTATTCAGGAAACATGTAGACATGGTACTTCAGGGCATGCTCTAGTGGCTGAGGTTGTGGGGGGTTTTTTGTGGGTGTTTTTTGGTGGGGTGTGTGTTGTGGGGTATTTTTGTCTGTGTTGGTGCTTGCATTTGATGACCTCAGGGGTCCTTTCCAACCATGATGATTCTGTGATTCTGTGATTCAGTGAAAACTATCACTTGCGGGGTGTGTACAGACTTGACATACTCTGTGCAAATTCTTTATTGAAACAATGATAAATTTACAAGCTGGATCACATTTCATTTTGCCACTTCAGCATGAACTAGTCTCTTTGTGGTTTACGGCCGTGAACTATAAAATCGTAACAGTTATTTAAATAAAAATACAGTAACTGCTTCTCAAAAGAACACATTCATATTTGTCTTACAATTCTTGTAAAATCTGAAAGTATTTCATAATGAAATATAACTTAAGATACTTTAGTGCAAGCATTTCCTGTGTATCTAAGAAGCTTTCAGTTGTCCCACTAAGTATGGCATTCTTAAGAGGCCAACTCTTAAAATAGCATGCTGCCAAGATACTCCATGAGAACTTTTAAAATTCAACACTGTTAGCACTTTCCAGAATTAGTTGATCTGATCCAAACTGAATGTTAGAAAGCCCTGGTTATACATTACAGTACTTTTGTCAAAAGATAACTGCAAATCAAGGAACTGAAGTAGTACGCACATTAGAATAAAACAGGCACTGATTGTAAAGAAATCAACATCTGCCCATATACGCCATTCTACAAGTCTTATGATTCCACAATAATTCTTAAGCACAGCAGTGAACTGCTACGCCTTACCTAATATCAGTAAACCTGCACAAAAATGCTGATTTGCGGATTCTTTTGAATTTTTTAAATGACAGTCTCAAAAAATTACTGGAGTAGGTTTCATCGCAAGCATATGCAAATCAGAACAAAAAAGCATCAGCACTAAACAAATGCTGCTCAAGAAGAAAACATTGAGCAAGTAGATAGTGAGTGCTATTGTTCAAGTGGTCTGATTAATATGGTTTTACATTTAGTGAAAAAAGAATAGTAAATGTAAAATCCAAATCCAACACTGATTTCTTGTGATGCAGAAATCTAGTCACATTTCATGATGTTTTGGCAAATATATTTTAAAATGCTCAAAGTATAGCTTGGAAATCTCTTTTCCTTTCTAAGCCTGGCTTGGTGTTCCACATGCTTTTAAGAAAGCAAGTTCCATTGGACTAGATTTTCCAGATCCCAAGTGTTTTAAGAACCATTAGTGTTTGGTTATATAACAAATAGAACAATTTAACAAAAGGTGTGCATAGTCCAAAGATGAGAACAGATCACGCTAATATCCCCTAAGTGCTTAAGGTGCATGAAAATACATAACAAAGCAAATGTTAATGCTTTCTTAGAGTAATAATTAATTTTATATTTGTTAATTGTGTTCTTGCACCACAAAATAGCCACTCCCTAAGAAATACTGCAGGACAAAATCCTTTACTTTTTAATAGCGCAGCCAGAAAGTTTGGAACAGGAAAGATGGGTTTGGGTGTTGCTTCCCAACTACCTCCCACAAAAGGAAGTGCCTGAAAGAACATAAAAAGCTTTAGGGTTACAGGTGTTATATAATGGATGCATAAAGATACTGAGCAGCATACACAAAACCAGAAAAAATACCTACACCAGAACTGCTACCATCTGTGTTTTCTTCAGATACCATGCTGTTCTGGTTTTAATCCAATAAACCACAAAGCTAAATGTCCAAAGGATTTACAGCAGACTGGCTACTTGTGAACTCCCAGCCCCGAGTGAGTCCAGCTCCAGCAAAGTCAAGGTTCCAAGGAATTCAGCGTTAGACCCATTACATGCATCTAATCCAAACACCTGTTGTTCATACATGGTTTGCAATACATGTTTGTGTGTACTTCATATACATGCTCTTTGTGAGCAGCCTTTGGAAAAAAATGTAGTCTGTATCTTCAAGGAAGTTTACACAGAGATGCTGAAGAAAACTGTGGGGTTGTTTACCGTCAAATGTTTATCAATAAATAAATAAATAATACACAGACTGGAGGGCAGCCTGAGGGCAGCAGTCAGGATCAGAACTGCCTGGTATCAATCACCATACCTGATGGAGTCTGGTCTTTACTGTAAGAAGTTCATACTTAAAACCCAACTAAAATAAAGATACTGGAGTTTAAGAAATAATTTTGAAACTTTCAAATTTTGAAGTATAATTTAAAACTTATTTTTATCCTTTCAGGAACATCCTTGCTCAACCTGTACAATCTTAGTTGAGGACCAGGCAGGTAACTTCAGAATGGATGAGCATTATTTGTAAATGCTGGACACGCAGAAAAATAAAGATGCCTCTTTTCAGGAGGTTAAGGTGAATTTAAAAAAATCAGTGTGATTTCCTGCTTTTGTTTCTGCCCTCATCCTTTTTCATACCAGAAACAAACTAGGTAACTTGAAAAACTGATGTGAACACTAAACAGAAATGTACTTTGGACTCAGACAAGAAGTTAACCATTTGCATCAGTAGTATTTTCAATCACACTGGTCAGAAGTGAGGTTTTTTATGGTATTCTCTTAATCTAGCCTGTGTGGAAATAAAATATTTCCAGCCACATTCTTAAAGGGACTTTGCCCTTTCATGTTTCCTTTTGGGCATGTGCAAATGCATTTTGTATCAGTCTCTACAACTACCAACTACCTGGAAGATGCCTGCCACTGTGGTGAGCACGTTAGGCAACTAAATGCTGCCATTTCATAAGTCAGCCACAAAATCTGAAGTCCATTATTACGTATTTTTAAAAATAACCATAGAAAGTAAATATGGAGCCTTCTCTGCAACACCTACTTAAGTCATCATGGGGTGTTCCTGTATTACGCTGCTAGTGAAGCTCTACGCTTAAACATGAGGAAGTTGACATAAAACTTCAGTTCATTGTCAAGGGTTTTTTTAGCTGAAACACTGACTTTGTTTCATCTCATTTACCCATGCCTCCAACAGACGTGGTATAGACGTGGTACTTCAAGAAAATCTCCAGAGAGCCATCCACAAACCATCTCCCCATAGATCTAAGTGACTTCTTTTTCTGCAATATAATTATTCCAGATTTATTTTTAGTATCTACACTTACACTACAGTCCTTAAAAACAGCAAGGTGATAGGTTTTTCATGAGTTCCAAATTATGTGTGTGTCAGGTAATTAAGTAAGATGCTATTAGTCCTACATAAACTCCTCCTTTTAAATGCTTTCTTTCCAGACTCACTTGGAGAAGTTTGGGTTTTTTAATTGTATGTCTGCAATAGAAATTATAACTTCCCTTCTGCTCCTGGCATTTCCTTGCATTTCCTGGCATAAATGTTATTATTTTTCATGCCACAATCACTGTGATCATTAAAGCTTTACTGGGTTAGTCACATGTACTCGAGCAGTGAACATCCTACACAGGTAGGAGGTTGTTAAAATATCAAAGTAATTAAAACAGTGAACAGTTTATGTGATCATCATTGTAATTTCACAGGATTATATGTGTGTGTATATATATATAAAATATATATATTATTTTGTTTTGTTTGTTTGTTTGTTTGGATAAAACACTCTCAAACTTAAACTTACAGATTAATTTAAGGTTGATGTTCACAATAGAAATTTGCCCAAAACTAAGAAATACAATGAAAGAGTCTTCTGCCATTTCAGCCTTGTCATCAGCTGATTACTGGCACTTGCAGGACTAGTAACCTGCATAACTTCTAGGAAGGTAGTGCATGCTTACTCCTACCAAATTGCTACAAAAAAGACATCTTGCATATTGCAGCTGTACTCCATATAAACTTCTGGCAAAGTAAAAAATGGTCAAACATATGCAACAAAAATCCCCTACAGAGTTGTTGGACTGCAACTTTCTGTAAGATGTTTATGGGCTTTCCCAACTATAAAATAGACCTCAAAGTTGTTTCTCAATTGGAAAAAAAACAATTGTTGACATTTCATTCCATGGAAAAGGGAAAACTATTTCCCATGTGCCTATGCAGTGTGGTTACAAATGAAATGGAAACATTTTAACTTTGTTTAATAGCCCTCTAAATCACAATATAGCTGAGCAAACAGGCTGTGTAAATGGGATCTATTAGGATTTTATTTGGCTACTGGAGTGCTGCTTCTTGGGCAATATTTCAAATTCACAAGAAAATATTTGCAAAAATGCAATAGCTGGAAATAACAGGACTGAAGGAGGAAAATTAAAAGCAGTTTTATGTTTACTAAGTTCAAGTGTCCTACATCAAAGACTACCAATGACTTCCAAGAGGCCACTACAGGTGACTCCAACCTAGAAAATGCTGAGGTAAATGGTTTTTGGAAATACTCCTAATCAAAAAGAGCAATTAATATTAATATAATAGCAATTACTCTGCCATACATCATGGTAAACTAAAGTCAAATTGAGAAGAAAGTGCCAAATAATCCACATACATGCTTTTGCTATGATAGTCTCCAGGTAAGGCTTAGCGGCAAGTACAATATGTATTTTTAAAAGAGCTCCACCTGATTTTCCTGCTATGCATAGATTCAGGAGTAACTATCATACATGGCTTTCATATATAACGCATGCATTTTTGTCATTCGCCAATGCTGTGTCATCAGAACTCAGTTCAGCAGAGGGCTCAGGAGGGGGCTCTGCAGGAAGTGCTGGTGTTTGAGGAGTGTCTTCTTCCTTGGTGTCCAACTGCATGCTTTCTTGTGACTGACCGTCCATGCAGTCCTTTTTGGACAATGGGTGGACTGACACTTTTATTGCAATCTGTTGAGGTGGCTCGTGCAGTGACGATGCATCAGAGTCAGCTGTGGGAGAGTCACTGCGCTTCAAAGCATTGGGAAGCATATACAGTTCATCTGTTTCAGTGGTTTCCTGGCCTTCTGCTGTCTGCCGGACAAAATTCTGCCCTTGCTCCTCCAGACCAACAACCTCCATAATTTCTTCCATTATAGTTCTGCAGTTCATGATAAGAGGTGGCAAAGGTACACTCCGAGCAAGCTCTTCAATATAGCGAGCGAATTCCATGGTCTTGAACTGGGTTACTTTGGCAAGCTCAAGCGTTTTGGCTGAAGTGATAATTGGGATACGTTTCGCAATCTCAAAGGCTTTCTGGAGCTTCTCTGCCCCTTCTGTTCTGAAGAATTCATTAATTGCTTTCTCTGTTTTCTTCAGGTGACTGCTCATCATACATAACCGAGTTATGTTCAGTATCATAACAATGGTAAAAGCTACAAGGCAGACAATCATGTAATAGATTCCCATATCTCCAGAGGTAAAAACAACCCTCAGTGTCACAGTATTGTTAACACTGCCATAGGTATTGGATGCAACACAGGTGTATTTACCTCTGTCTTCGAAAGACACTCTGGTAATGTTTAGTAGCCCATTGTCAAGAAACCACCATTTTCCTGCTGGAGAGGAGAAAGTAACTTAGTTAGAAGAATTTTGTTCACATGATCAGCATAGTCTTAAACATCAGCTTTGTCAAACTGGCTTCAGATTTTGGAAGAAATAAATAATGTTCACAAGAAGACAAAAAATTTACCACCACAAAGGCCTATTTGTCCCTGAGATCCTAGCCATGTTACTATCAAATCTTTGACATCAACTGTGAATAATCGGATCATGCCCTGAAAGAAGTCTCATTAAAAAATGTTAATATGCGTGACATCTGTTACAAACTTATCATCAGTTAAGTTACAAAGATGGGACTACTTACCCTAGGCAGCCTCCCAACACATGGCACTTCCTCAAAGAACAGTAACAGTGGGATTGTGAGGCAGAAAAACCTACTGAGCCCTCCTTCTTTGTTCCTTGACAACGCATTTTCCTACAATCGGGTTATTTTGATGTTTTGCTATAGTATCTTATATAATTCTGTTAATTTAAACTTTAGAACCTCTAACATTTCAGACATCATATGCCACATTGTCTTCCTACAGGACTCTGAGGTGTTCAGAATCTAATTTTGAAGTATAATTTAAAAAACAACAGGGAAATAGGACAGTAGGAGGGTGATGGATGGGAAAGAGAAGAGCCATGACCAATTAAGAGAACATCTTGTTCGCCAGTATGAACTTAATCGCACCACGATGTAACTTTCATTTATAAGTCATTTCTACCAGCGTAATATGGTTTATATCTTTTATACCTACACATAATTGTACATGTACATTTCACATCCCATAAACCTGGCACAGCAGAATTTAGTTATTAAACCCAGTTTGAAACATTATGTTAAAATTCAGTGCTCCTATCACTACTAAAGAGATTCAAGATTCAGCTAGTTACTGTGTTTACCATTACGTATTGGTAACAAATTAGATATTTAGTTCCCCTAGTAAGCTTCATTTTTATTCAACAATCATTACTATTTAAGAGCTGGTGATGTGTATTTTTACTTTATTCAGGGTGATTTGACTTATTAAGTTGCAACTTTTCTATAAAAAACACTATTCAGCTCCTATAGGAAAGCCTGGTGTCAATTCTTTCCTACATATAACTGCACCCCTGGAAGTGTTCACACAGTGGAGAGAACAGCCAGAAAGTGCAGGAGTGCCTCTGTGCCTTCTGAACTCTTCATACAGGGAGATGTCATCCAAAAGACTTCCTCTTATGACAATGATACAGGCTGATGTAAACCAACAAGATCATGTAATACATATGGATACAATCACAAGCCATTCCCGACAGGTGTCTGTCAGCACTAGTGGAATTTCAGTAACCTGGAGTTTCAGGTGCTTACCTATATTTACTACTGGGAAGTTGTTTTTACTTAAACCTAGTCTAACCAGCTGCAATTTAAGTCTACTAAGGCAGCTGAGCAAAGACACAGAATCTGTGCTTAGAGGACTAAAACACTGCAAAACCCCTTTGCAATGCATATAAGTCACAAGGCAAGGATTGCAGTCCAGGCACAGGTTAGTGTGTACTTTGCTTCTATATTTATTTTATCCTTTTCATGGAAGTTCTTTCTTTGTTAAAAAGATTATTCTAGTTTTTTTTACTTTATTTCCTTCAAGGAAGGAGCTGTGGGCAATTCTGAAACTCATTAGACAAAAAAAGCCTTTAATTCAGAGTAGTTATGGGCTTTTACAATTTGAGTTTTTCTAATTAAATGTCACATATCCAAACTGTTTTTTTACATTCTCTCCAGTAGAAGCCTATGTAGAACGTATTCCCACAAGATCCCTGCCTCAGTTCCTTATGGACAGTTCTTAATTACATTTTTTTATCCTCTTACTTAGAATTTTTAAGTTAACTGAAACACTATTTTTTGCACTAGTTTAATTCTTGAAAACAGCTGAACCACTTTGTCTGAACACAAAAACATACAGAATAAATAAAAAGTTCAGTCTACAGCAGACCTTCACATTAAAAAAACACCACCATCTGCTACTTAGGTAAATTCAGAGGAGAATGGTCTTACAGAGGAAATGTCAGTGTCTGTAACAAATGACACTTTTTTCTCAACCTCTAGAAGAAGAAAAAACATAAGAGTATTGGCTGCTCAGTATGTCTTTGAATTGCAGTGTTGGCAAAGTAAGTCTTTATTAACTGTAGAATGACAAGAAGCCTTGCTGATGTATCCTGGCTCCAGCTGTTAGAAATTACATAATGGCATTGAACTCTATGTCTGGGTCTGTGCCAGTGGATCCTAGCAGATAGTATAAGCCTAATGAGAAAACAATTATTAGAAAAGGTATCATTACTGGGTTTTGATAACAATTCAGCCATAGTCAGCTATATCCATAGTAAAGAACAATCTTGTGCTAGGAGACAGTCAGAAAGACTGTCAGTTTCCTAAAGGAGGAAGTGCATTGTTGAAAGTCTAACTGAAAGTGGAGTTGTCTTAATACTCCCTCTGCAATTTTTACTGATTTGGTCAAAGCTTTTGCTTAGCTATGTAAGTATTTGTGTTAGCAGCTCTCTCTCTCAGTTGACTATACAAAGACTTAAAGTTAGATGCTTAATTAAAGGGGAAAATTTCTATTAGTGAGTCTTACTAAAACACTCTAGTGCACTAATCATACTGTGTTGCCATGACTGCACAAATTCTACCTGGAATTCTGCTTACTAGCTCAAGTGATCCCTTTCTCTAGCTCTACTTAGGAAACTATAAAATACTGTTAATGTAAAACATAACCAGTTATGCAGCAAGTTTTTACGGATAGACTATGCTGTTGCACATCCAGCTGGGTCAATCATTACTCCCATCATAGCAGAGTTCTCCCTGAGGTCAGCTATTGGTTAAGCAAGCTATCTTGCCTTTAGTATGCATAAGAGTTTATTTGATCGTGCTGTGAACAAAGCAGTCAGTATGGAAGGATTACATGAGTAAAACACCTTCCATCTCCCCCCCCAAGTGTTCCCTAAAAGTATAGCTAGGATTATCACCCAAACCTTCCATTTAAGGAAAATAAGCTCATGTGTAATTAAGGTCCTTGGCAAATGCAACTGAAGAGTCTTAACTAAAGCCAGGAAGGCTCAGAATTGGCTGTTCCTTTGACTGCAGCCCTATATAGGTTTTTCTGTTGATCAGTCAGACCATCTCCTGCTTCTCACACTCCAATAGTACTATGGATGGAGACACCAGGCATATCAAGGAGTTAGTTGTGTTCATTTCATGCCAACAAACTATTCTTGTATGTCAGGAGAATCCTCCCTTGAGTTAGGAGATAGCTTTTTAGTCTTCTCTGGGGCCAGAGAAGAACAAGAGGACAGAATGGGACATAGGATCAAACTTGGAAGTCTTCCAATGAAAAGAAGCCTGTCTACACCTTCTGCTAAGTGCTTCAGCTTCTTGCTATGTGTTGCTATAAATAGCACATTAAATAATGCTTTTTTTTTTTTTCTACGGTGTGCACAACAAATTAATGGCTGCCACTGGACTTTCATATATTTTCACACAGGAATATACTACAGGCAGGCCATTAAATTTGGGTTATTAATCAACCTGATGAAATCAGAAATGTCTCTGGACAGGCTACATCAGTGAGAATACTAAGATCTTACCTTTACTCTCCTCCTCTTGGAGCAGGCGCCCGTTGGAATTGTACCATTTGTACTGTGGACTAGGACTGCCTTGGACATTGCAGTCAATCAAGGCACTACTCCCCTCCTTGACTATAATATGGTCGATGCGGGAGATCACCACAGGCACAGATCCCATGTTCATGTCAGTGTGGTTGAAAGTGCTATTAGTCACATCCTCAGCAGTTGTCAAAGCTGCTAGTAAGATGACAAGGCGTGTGGTAGGCAGAAAGTACAAAAAGTGGTAGCTGTTCAGTATGTTCATTTTTCTTCAGTGGTACATGCAACTGGCTGGATTCTGGGATCAATTCTGTGGAATGCAGACCCTTGAGGTGAGGAGGTCACAGGAGAGTTCTACTTTGATCCATGCAATTTAATGTTTAAAATATCCTATTAAATAAATAAATAAATAAGTACAATGAGATGGCATGTATAAACAATCCATTAGGTGTGCTCTTTTAAAATAGTGACACATCCATTAATGCATTTCACAATCATCAACTCAGTGTCTTGTCTAAATGCTAATGTTATCATGGTCCTTATTCTTACTGGAAAAAGATGCATACATTTTCCTGACAATAGTGTTGTTCAGAGTGGCAGGCATGGGAGAAGGCTTTTATCACCTAGACACTTAGCAGCAATTTAGCTACAGCAGCAGCTAGTGTTTTATGCCAGAAGTTCAATAGATTTTTTAAATTATTATTATTTTTTAAACATTTGCAAAATCAACAGGGAAAACAAAGGTACAACACATTGAAGTTGCTGCTACCAGTTCAGTGCTACACCTGTCACGTGCATGATCTTACATAAATTGTGGAACATGGTGTAAGAAGGAACTGCTCCAGGAAAGGTTTTTGGAGCTAATGTTGGAATCCTTGATATACATAATTTGTCCAAATACAATGGCACACACAGCAAACATGTCAGACCATTAACTTTACTTAAGCTAGTGCATTATTTTATAGGTTTTCTGAGATAAAACATATAATGGAAGAATGTTATTAAAAGAGGATATTTAGTACTTGATCAAGTACTTTCAATGGCAATTTTAGAGCAGATTTAGAAAGAAAAATACTCTCTAGTGACATAGTTATGGGTAAGGTGTCTTTGAGATACAAATAAAGTTGGGACTTCTTCATTCCTTATGCAGCATTTAGCTTCTTGCCTATATACTTTTTGCACACTCTCACTATGGTATTTTCCCTCAACTAATCATCTACACTGCACCCTTTCTTTAACAGTGATTTCAGTTTGTAGGCAGAGGAGGGGGTTTACAAATGTGCTGTTGGCCTCATTATGCTTACAGTGAATGCAACCAACATTCAGTACTGATTGAGGGCACAGGGTAGGCTGCAAAATGACCACCTTTGCAAATTTCACTCCAAGTCTAAGGGCCACAAATGATGTTAAAATCACATGAAAGTATCTAACTACGGTGGTTTTACTCATATGTTTCTAAGGTAAATGAAATGTAGTGAAACTTATGAGAGGAATTTGCCTGGAATCCAAATACAGGTAACTATCTAACAAACTTTCTCCAGAGTGGATATTTCACTTGCAAAACCATTTGTATTTTATTCAATATCTGGTAATTCAATTACCTTAGCATGGAAAATGACTGCTGACAAGGTTAGGCCAGTTCCTAAAAGGAAACAATAAAATAAAACTAAATAAACAATCCCCTTCCCTCTTTTCTTTGATAGTATCACAGAATCATTCTGGTTGGAAAACACCTTAAAGATCATTAAGTCCAAACATTTACCTAATTCTGCTGAGTCCAGTTCTAAACCATATTGCTAAGCACCACATCTACAGGTCTTTTAAACACCTCCGGGGATGGTGATACAACCACCTCCCTGGTCAGCCTATTCCAGTGTTTAATTACCCCTTCAATGGGTTGCTCCCTTGGCTCAACTTGAGACCATTTCCTCTTGTCTTGTTTCTTGTGACTAAAAAGACTGACCCCTTCCTGCCTACAGTCTCCTCTCAGGCAGCTGTAGAGTGATAAGGTCTCCCTTCAGGCTCCTTTTCTCCAGACAGAACATCCCCAGTTCCCTCAGCCACTCGTAAGACTTGTGCTCCAGACACCCCACCAGCTTTGTTGCCTTTCTCTGGACACGTTCCAGCACCTTGATGTCCTTCTTGTAGGGAGGGGCCCTAAACTGAACGCAGGATTCAAGGTGCAGCCTCACCAGTGCTGAGTACAGCAGGACAATCACTTCCCTGCTCCTGCTGGCCATGCTAGTTCAAATACAAGCCAGGTTGCTGTTGGCCTTCTTGGCCACCTGGGCACACTGCTGGCTCATATTCAGCTGGCTGACAACCAACACCCCCAGGTCCTTTCCCTCTGGGCAGCTTTCCAGCCACTCTTTATTCAAAAAGGAAAGAAAACATTACTGTCTTTCAGTAGTAATATTTGACTAAGGTTGTTTTCTTCTTCATCTCTCCTTCTCTGTAAAGCAATGAACTTGATTTCATACAAATCGATACAACTATTAGTAAAAGAGCAAAATAGTTTCCTCCATCTTGAGGACGAGTCATTACTAGAAATGCAAGCTATGTTATGTTAGATAACCTGCATGCGTGGTGTGGATGCCTGTCACAACTCCAAGCCTGCCCTCATTTTTTCTGTGTTTTTCTGATTATTGAATGTGGAAATATTTGCCTTGAAGAGCCAGAATAATTTTTTAACTTTAAATTAATATGCAAATCTCACTTGTCATATTAGGCTCTATAAATAAGGACTTCAGAAATCCATTTCCAGTTATGCAAAGTGTGTAGAGCCTGTGCTTTTGAAGCTCAGTATAGATAGAACCTGTCTGAGTCTGCACTTTGGAAAAAATCCTTAAATTCTGCCTGTTCTCTCCAGTAACTATTCACATCTGATTTTTACTACTTCATTAACCTTGGACACAGCCATTCTTAAAGGTTACACATTCACCCTATAAAATGTTTCTGTACAGTGTTATATATCTGCACTGCGCCATACAGAAAAGCCAAAAGACACGTCACACTTCCTGGCAAGGGAACAGGAACAAAGACTGGCTGGATTAAGATGATGGGAAGGGCAAAAGAGCAACATAAATTGATTAAGTTTTGTGTTACCAATTACTGAGTGTGACTTGTAATTCCTATATAGGAGTCTACCATATTTTCTGATTGGCATAAAAATCAGTAGCAATCAAAAAAAGCTGTTTAGCGCAGAGGGCAATTTGCATTCTGAAGGAAAAGAAATAGCATCACCCGAACGGATGAACGGAAAACCTGCAAGGAAGGACCCATAGTGTATTGGGAAGCTCAAGGCAGTTGGAGGCCCATAGGAATGCTGTGAATGGATGTTTGGTGTAACTCCCACTGGCTGGAAAAGGGAAAATATAACTCCCATTTTTAATAAGGGGAAAAAAGAAGACCCAGGGAACTTCAGGCAAGCAATCTCACCTCTGTGCCTGCCAAGATCATGGAGCAGATCCTCCCAGAAACTATGCTAAGACACATGGAAAATAAGGAAGTGATTTGTGACCGGCAACATGGCCTCATTATGGGCAAATTGTGCCTGACAAATTTGGTAGCCTTCTATGACAGGGTTAAAGCGTTGGTGAATAAAGGAAGAGCAACTGATGTCATCTGCCTGGACCTGTGCAAAGCATCTGACACTGTCCCACACAACATCCTTGTCTCTAAGTTGAAGAGACATGGACTTGGTGGCTGGACCACTTGATGAATAAGGAACTGTCTGGCTGGCCACACTTAAAGAGTTGCAGTCAATGGCTCAGTGTCCAAGTGGAGATCAGTGATGAGTGGCATTCCTCACGGACTGGTATTGGGACTGGCATGGTTTAGCATCTTTGTTGGTAACAGGGACAGTGAGGCTGAGTGCACACTCAGCGTGTTTGCCAGTGACACTAAGCTGTGTGGTGCAGTTGCCATGCTGGAGGGAAGGGATGCCATCCAGAGGGACCAGAGGCCGGAGATGAGGGCCCATGCAAACCCCATGAAGTTCAACAAGGCCAAGTTCAAGGTCCTGCACGTGGATCAGGGCAATCTCAGATACAAAGCCTGGGAAGAGAATGGATAAGAACAGCCCTGAGGAAAATGATTTGGGGGCGTTGGCTGATGAGAAGATCAACATGAGCTGGCAGTGTGTGCTTGCAGCCCAGAAGGCTAACCATCAAAAGAAGTGTGGCCAGCAGGTGAAAAGAGGTGATTCTCCTCCTCTACTTCACTCTGGTCAAACCCTACCTGGAGTACTGTGTTCAGCTCTAGGGCCTCCAGTACAAGGAAAGACATGGAGCAGTCCAGAGGAGGGCCACAGAGATGATCAGGGTGCTGGAGCACCTCTCCTATGAAGACTGGCTGAGAGAGTTGGGGTCTTTAAACCTGGAGAAGAGAAGGCTCTGGGGTGACCTTATAGTGGCCTTCCAGTACCTGAAGGGGCCTACAGAAAAGCTGGGGAGGGATTTTTTACAAGGGTATCCAGTGACAGGACAAGGGGTAACAGTTTCAAGCTGAAAGAGGGTACGTTTAGATTAGGTATTAGCAAGAAATACTGTACTGTGAGGGTGATGAAACACTGGAACAGGTTGACAAGAGAAGTTGTGGATGTCCCCTCTCTGTAAGTGTCCAAGGCAAAGTTGGATGGGGCTTTCATCAACCTGGTCTAGTGGGAGGTGTCCCTGCCCATGCAGAGGGGTTGGAACTAGATGACCTTTAAGGTCCTTTCCAACCCAAACCATTCCATGGTTCTATGAAAGTTTGTGATGGCAGTGACAATGTAAGGTGTACCACTTCTGTATGGTTACCTGTGTTCGAACACGGAGCACATGAAAGCAAAAGCCGTACCTCTATGTAGCGGTAACAAATATGACTGGTTCTTAACGTGGTCAAAAGGGCCAATTACTTGTCTGAACGTAACAGTGATTCCCTCACTCTAACACAGAATTGCATCATAAATAGCTGCAGTAACTGTAACTATGTGAAACAGGGACAAAAACTGAGGATAAAACTTCTCTGTCCGAAATCAAGCATCAGTCTAAACAGAAGACATTTACAGCTCAGACTGGCTAGGGACATTAATCACTCAGAGATGTGTTCTGATTGACCATTTATTTTTCCATGTCACAGATGAGTTTGCTTCCCAGTGTTACTACCACCAAAGAAAATTACTGTGGGTGAGGGGCTGCGTTTGTAAGTACTGCATTTGTTCAGAGCAACATGATGTCAGGGCACAAAAGAATAGAAAAGGAAGGCAGTGATGCATACCTTTTC